ACTGCAGCTTGTGCATGGAGTGGTAGGGGTGAGGCCCATGCAAGCCTTCTTCATGACAGTCACTCAGACAACATGAGCACAAGACAATTTTTGGAAGATTTTGCCTCTGTGTGGATCATCTGATCTTTGAGCCACTCTCTGTGAATGGGAAACTGCATCCTCAAAGGGCAGCCCAAGCTGCTGGACCACGACAGAGGTCTTTTCTTGATTTATCAATCCCTTTGTAATCTCTGAATTTGGTAGCAAAAAGGAGGTTGAAAACAGTCCAAACCAGGGCTGCAGCCCAACCTTTGTATCTCTGACTGACAGGAGTGCTTAAACAAAAAGGTGAGAATGGGGCTTCCCAACTCTCACTTTCTCAATTGGAGGGGAAGGTGAGACATTAAATTAGTTATAAAAGTACCAATCAGCAAACTAAATTTGTGACACTTTTTACTAGTTTTGCTTAAGCAGAATAAAATATTTCTGCAACTATGCTACCTGCCAGAAGATTCCTTCCAAATGGCAAATCTACACATGCAACTATTGACTCAGACCTCAGTCTCAAAATGAAAGACTTCTGTGCACAAAAAAGTTTTTACCAAACTGATATGGGCTGCTCTATTTCAGTAAACAACACTTTGTAGCACAGTTTGTGTGCTGAACTGAAGGTGGGGTGTGTGGGCACTGGGATGCAGAGACCTCTGGTGTATATTTAAAAAGTTAAGGTGCGCCAAAGAAGTCAGATTTTGTGCAATTTACACAGATCTACACAGATGCAGAGACAGGTCCCAGTTGATCGCATCTCCATGCTGCAGAGGTTGAATACTCTGCATCCAAATTCTTCCAGAGACCACAGCATGAGGAGAGTTTAATGTTTAATCCCAAATTTTCTTATTGAGCATATTTGACATTCCACTGGATTTTAAATTAGCAGAGGGACACAGCAGTGTACTGAAATTGCACCACAAGCATAATAAAGCATTTGCAATATACAATTGAATCACAGTAGAAATGTGATTCTCATTGTGGTCTCTATCTGCTCAATGTCAATGCTTGGCCTCAGTCCCTGTGAAGAAATATATTGATTGAAACCATCTCAAGCCTGTTGCACCCTTCAAACTTTTCCATTTTGTCCAGTTTTTGTAGTTTATGTTGGATTGAGCCACATATACATGCCCAGCCTCCCTACCCCATATTTTACTCTGATTTGCTCAGAAAGATGTCAGTCTGAGACAACCTGATGAATCACTGGTGTAGTTGTCTTCTCAAAAACCATGGTAACCCTTCACTCTCCCTGGTGTTGAGATACATGCAGTTTTTCTTTACAGTACATTACTTTTCTTTACAGAACCTTATTCCTCCAGCTCATTGTCTTTTTGCCCTTCTCCCATGGGTGTGAGCTGGTCTGTCAAAAGTACCCAGGGTTTTAGTAGGAGGGAAGGATTTATTTCTTTCCTCCAGGCAGTCCAGATGAGATCTACTGTGCATTCAGCATGGCAGATCACAGGAGCACACAACAGCACAAAACAGGGATCTGTAAAACCTGTCTCAGTCATAAATGGCAGACTACAATTCCATTCTTCCTTTGGGAATGATAGAGAATGTTTTTAAGAGGGAATGAAGCACCAGCTATCAGTGAGTGGAAAAGAAGGAATATTAAAACCTGCCCAGTACAAAATTCAAAACTATTAGTCTGAAAACTTGAATACATTTCCAGAATTTTATTCATATATATTCTTAAATTATAATATGCAACTATTTTTTTTGCCTTATGCTGATCTAAACTCAAATCTTGAAGTTCTAGTAGCATATAATTAATGATATTTTTAAAGGCACTGTTAAATTAATAACTGCATATTTTAAATACCCACCCTGACGTTATGAATACAGACACAATACCCCAGAAGAGCCCTATCTTATTATTGTACAGTTTAGATATATACTAAAAAACATCTCATTCATTACCTAGGGGATGCCAAACCAGAGTATAAGCAAGGGATCTGAAAATTTATGAATGGAAAACAAAGATGAGACCAAAAAAACCCATGGGAACGCACAGATAGTGTTCATGGTACACTAGAGACTTATACTTAGCCTCTATTTTGCAGAATTATATGTCTTGATTCCATCTTGGTGTGAATCTGATTAGACTAGATATGCTAAATGAACAAAATTTGTACTACTATTGATTGAGGACTGCCATTAGTAAGTATGGGTTGGAAAGCAGAAAGGGAGGGATACTGAAATTTGGTGTTCTGTTGCCAGCGTGGCTCTACTAAATGAAGAAAAGACAGTCAGAATTAGCAAAAAGCAGAGATGATTTGCATGTTTCTTAATATACCCCTTTTCTGAAGTGATAGAGATTAGATAGGGAGAAGACAATTTTTAACTAAGTCATGTTTGTTGTCTTTGTCTCAAAATCCTACACAACTAGCCAACTGAAAAACACCCCCAAAAGCCATAGATTTGATATTGACCATAGAAACAATATTTGAAATGTCAGGATAATGGGCTTCTCTTTTATGCTTTTATCATGGCCTTAGAGAGCAAAACACTTTCTTAGTTTTATGATAGAATATAATTGTAATTCCATCATTATTAAACAGACTGAGGGAAGCTGCTTCTTCCCAGTTTGATTTCACAATAGAGAATCTACTTATTATATGTTCCAATATGGTACAGTTTAAAAAAGTACTCAGAAATTATGTTTACTTTTCATACATAAAATGACAAAAGAAAATAAATAATAAACTTTTTCTTTTCCTGGGAAAAAAAAAAAGCAAATATTCTCTAGGTGTTGGTCTAGCAGTTATTCCAGCTCAGGATGTTCTTATAATGTGACATTTTGAACATCCTAAGTCAAATATTGTTCCTTGCTTTCATAAATAATAATTCAGAATCTCATCTGTTTAAAGCATAGATTTAGATCCCTTAAAAACTAACAAACAAACAAACAAACAAACCCAAAAACCCCAAAGACAATAAAACCTGGTAAAGGTCCAAATGTATGGTCTCCTGTCAACAGTAGGATTTTTTTTTACTAATTAGGGAGCAGAAATTTAGGTCTACAGTTGTTGTAAAGAACCTTTGGTAAAAAAAATTTAAAAATTACCCACTGCAGTGACTGGAAAGGTGACAAATTAGCAGAAGTCATAAAGTAATAAAAGTTTAGCATTAAAGAAAAGGATACTATTCCACTTTCTGATTAATATGTGCTTAAAAATACAAAGCTGCTTATGTAAAAATCGAATATTTGAGAAATGGGATATAGAAATGAAAATAAAGAAACAATATACTAGATATCGTTGAAAATTTCCTAAAGCTGGTAAGACATCTGAAATAATTAACAATTCTGTAGAAAAGTTTGAACACAAACTGTAACTCTTTGACCACAAAAAGACAAAAGTATCAATGAACAGTAGCATGAAAATAATCATAATTTAAAGTAATTCAAACCAAGCTCAGCCAGTGCAAGAAAATAAAATACACACACTTACGAAAATGGTTTATAGAAATCTAAGGAGAGAGAAAAAAAAAGCTTTCCAATTCTACGAACATGTACATCTTTGGAATTTTTTGGGGGAGGGAGAGGAAGTGTAGTCTTTTTGTTTATATTGTAAACTTTACAGCTGTCCAACAGCAAACGATGTGTCATCAGCTGTCACGGAGACTGGAAAACGTGGCGGGAACCCCGCCCCTGCGCTCTGCAGTCCCCAACCAGGTCGGACCGACGGCAATATAGAGTGCGCTGGGGCCACTTTTTCTCGCACATTGCTTTGGGCAGAGCAAGGGATACCATGTCTGGCAGAGGCAAGGGCGGGAAGGGGCTCGGCAAGGGCGGCGCCAAGCGCCACCGCAAGGTGCTGCGCGACAACATCCAGGGCATCACCAAGCCCGCCATCCGCCGCCTGGCTCGGCGCGGCGGCGTCAAGCGCATCTCGGGGCTCATCTACGAGGAGACGCGCGGCGTGCTGAAGGTGTTCCTGGAGAACGTGATCCGCGACGCCGTCACCTACACCGAGCACGCCAAGAGGAAGACGGTGACTGCCATGGACGTGGTCTACGCTCTCAAGCGCCAGGGACGCACTCTCTACGGCTTCGGCGGCTAAATCCTTTCGCTCCCGGATCAGCTCGAGAAACGAACCCAAAGGCTCTTCTAAGAGCCACCCACTTACACTGAAAAGGAGCTGTGTTGCTTTTAAACTGGTAAAATGAAAGAAAAATGATTTTACACTGTTTTTTATAACAGTCATAGTTTGCATTGATTATTACTTAAAAGGAAGTTTTGCGTTAATCACGTAATAAGTACTGCATAAAACATTATAGCTGACAATCTTACATCAAGGGGGGAAAGGGACATAGTCTTTTGTAAATAAAGGCTTAGGACCTTTGTTTTGCACTTGTTCTCTATAAAAGCAAAACGAGTAGTGAAGCACTCTAAACTTAACCCGGTCATCCGAGCTGACCTGTTTTACGGGCATGTCACTGTTTTTTTAAATTAAATAAACAGTGGTAGAGGTAGATATGTTTATACTTTGGTTCTGTTAATGTCTGTTGTGGTCCTTTGTGGGAGGTATCAGGGCTGGGGGCTACTTAAACCTCTTATAAAACTGAATACCGGAACGATCCCGTTTTTCATCAGAAAATGGCGCGTAGCAAATCGTCCATTATTCTTTGTGCATTCGGTGCGTTAAAGCTTAGGAAAGCTGCTTCTTTTAATTACGCATTTAAAGGAGTATAATTTTCAATTATTTCCTTTTGAACACTTTAGCTAAAGGTTTCAATTTTCGTGGTAGGCTGTAAAGAGTCGTTTTAAGAAATAGTCCATAAGCGGCGGGGTGGGGGAGGGGCGGGGGGAGGCCGCGCGCGAGGGGACGGTTGATGAGGGCGCGCGCGCGCTTTCCAGGCGGGCTTTTCGAATTAAAAATTATCCAATAAAAGCGGCGGATCCCTGGCAGCCAATCAGGGTGGCGAATGCTCTATAAAGGCCGCCCGCGGGAGCTGAGCAGTTCAGTTTCGCTCTGGGGTCTCAGCTGCGAGTGCTGCCTGTGAGCGATGGCGCGCACAAAGCAGACGGCGCGTAAGTCGACGGGCGGGAAGGCGCCCCGCAAGCAGCTGGCCACCAAGGCGGCCCGCAAGAGCGCGCCGGCCACGGGCGGCGTGAAGAAGCCGCACCGCTACCGGCCCGGCACGGTGGCGCTGCGCGAGATCCGGCGCTACCAGAAGTCGACGGAGCTGCTGATCCGCAAGCTGCCCTTCCAGCGCCTGGTGCGCGAGATCGCGCAGGACTTCAAGACCGACCTGCGCTTCCAGAGCTCGGCCGTCATGGCGCTGCAGGAGGCCAGCGAGGCCTACCTGGTGGGGCTCTTCGAGGACACCAACCTGTGTGCCATCCACGCCAAGCGCGTCACCATCATGCCCAAGGACATCCAGCTCGCCCGCCGCATCCGCGGAGAGCGTGCCTAGTTTGTGGCCACAGGGTTCTGTATAGATAATCCTAAACATTATCCCCGCACCCTAAAAGGCTCTTTTAAGAGCCACCACATTACACAAGAGAGTTGAAACACGGCTTTTCTTGTACTTTCTTGCAAGCTAGGAGTTCTGAATTCTTGCTGGCTGTTGGAATTCAACAATTTAGTAACCCTTCCTAAGTAGTCACCTTAAGCTATTATGCTGTTTTGAACAGTATTTAGTGGTGTTTTAGTGAGGTGCCTGGAAATGCCTATTTAACTATACAGAATAAGTAAATGTACAAAGAGAGTGAGTGTAGAAATAAAGCAAATGAGAAAAAACAAACTAGTACAGACAGTTTATACCCATTTATCTCTGCACTCCTCCCACCCCTGACATACTGCTTTCTGTAAAACACTTTGCAAAAATTTTTGCTGAGTAGAGCAGCCTTTTACTTTCAAGCATTATGGAAGGCATAACCTGAGTTAGTATTGGAAGACAAACTTCGAGTTTCAAACAGCTTTTTATTAACGATTATGCTCATATTGGTTCTTCAATTATGGTGTACCAAAGATATTTTAGCTGGATGTGTCAGCCCTGCTCCTATCACATGAATAAAACAGTGCTAAGAATGTAAGCTTGATGAAAGGAACAAAAAAAATTATAAATGGAAAAAATTATTCTGTTACTTATATTGTGGGGGTTTTTTCTGTTGTGACTTTCAGAAAAGGCTGGAGAAAAGGACTAAGGAGAGTTTGGAAGAATTTTGTTGATTCATTAAAGTTTTGTATTCAGGAAATTACACTTGGCCTCTAGGTCAGTTTTGGTTATTTAAGGCTTCTAGACTATGGCTGCTTTATTATTTTAGAGAGGTCAAGTTTTCTATTTTCCAATAATTCACAAATAAACCATCCAGATTCCTATGGATTTTGCTGCTTTGCTGTCCCAACATCTTTTCATTTTCCCTTGATAATGGACTCTGGCCTATCCAATACACTTCCGTAACTGTAACTAGCCAAACTGATCTGAAATTAAACTTCACATACTTGAGTATGACGTCTGGGGGAGCCTGTAAGAAGTTTCATATGCTGTGTTTCTGAAACACCAAACGGGAGGTAAACATGGTATATGTAAGTAATATTTATAAATAGTGATGTAGGCATCAAAATATACACACACACACACACATACATGTACATATTCTATACCTGTATACATACTTTCATGTGCTCTTTTTTTTCCCTCAAAAGTTTTAGCTCTTCTCAGATCCTTCCACCCCTATCTCTTTCCCAAACCCCTCTGCCTCAGCAGCACCTGGCTTTGATTTTTGCAGTTCCAACAACACGATATTATATTTTAAATTATAGGAACTACTTCCCAGTTGGACTCGATGACCATTGTGAGTCTCATACAGCTGAAACTGTTCCGTTCCATTCATCCCTTTTTACATCACCGCTTGCAGTGTTAGGCAACAATTTTAGGCATTTGAAAGCAGCAGTGCTCATCTTGGAATAGCACAGAGAATGTACCTATAGGTGTAATTTAAAAGGAATTATATTATTATAATTTTAAAATTAACTACATGTCAGCCTACACTCTAAGACTTCAGTAGGCTCCATGATGATGCGATTTGTTGTTTCACACTGGAAATGTGTTATTAGCTGAAATAACTTACCTTTGTAACCAGGCCCTACTGCGAGGTTAGTGAATGTTAAAATGGCTAAAACCTCAGATTTGTCGCAATTAGACTCGGGTCACTGGTGTCTGCTTGTAGTGCACGTGCAGGTTCTGCATCTTCACTGATTCCAGACTGTGGAATCTGCTCCCAAAAGCAAATGCAAAAATTATTCATCATGACTGATAATTAGTTAATATCTTGTCTGTGCTATCAGTCTTATATTAGTGCTATCAATTGCTAAAAAGGACTTGGAAGGATCTTACAGTATTAAAAAGGTGGTACTTGTTAGAAATAAGAGTTTATTTATTTATTTATTTTGCATAGGTAGCATTAAATATACTCTAAGACAACTGAAGCAGAAGAAACAAGACTGAGGTTATACTTTTCTTTCTGCTTTTGGCTGACTTTTAAGAGAATGTGGAAATTTTATGGCTAATTGAAAGGTTTCTTTTCAATCTCCAGGCCATAAGTTAAAATTCTCTCACATAATGCTGCCTATTCAAACAAGGAGAAATCTTTGTCATGCTATAGTACACAACTTTAATTCCCAAACCTGCAAATATTTCATTTCTTATCAGTTAGGTTTTTTTTATTTCCATTCACTTCAAACTCAGAAAAGGTTTTAATTTACATGCAAAGAAATAGAGGTGAAATGTATCTTGAAACAGAGGTGAAATATACAATAAAAAAAAGTTCAATACAGACTGCATAGGCATTCCATTCAGCCCTTAGTAACACTGCAGCTCTGCTTTCATTGCAGCTTTGTTCCAAAATAAGGTCATGTAGATCAACAAATTCATTCAGGGGGATTTATGTGGGAGGAACAAAAAAAAGAAGCCAAAAAAAAAAAAGGAAACTGAACCCCTGAACAAACCTTAATCTTGTCTGATTGTTAGACTCATTCAGTCTTTACACTTTCTCTTCTCATCCACCCGAGTGCCATCTCTGACAGATTGTGTGTATAGTGCAGCATCTTTAAGCAGGCAAATAATGCCCAGAAGCCTCTAATGACAACAGGTGACCACTCTGGCTTCTAATAGCAGCCTTCGGTGCTCCACAGCACTCAGGGTTGTTGCACCACATGTACCAGATGTAAATTTTTGCAGATGGGGAGAGGACGGGAAGATGTTTCCCAAAATAAGAGGAGAAACATCAACTACTTATGAATCTGAGGCCTAATTTTTACATCCTAATTTAATTCTCAGGCTCATGTTAGACCGATCTTGTCTCAGTAACAATTTGAGCAAAGGTGGGTTCTTATAAATTTGAAAGCTGTGTGCAAATACATCTACCTGTCCAGATACTCATGAAGAATCCTAAAGAACTGGCTGCAGAAACCTGACAACTCAGCATGTCAGATATTGTGACCACTACCCGGAGAAGTGAAAGTTCAAAGACAAATATATATCCATTACTGCAAGAACACATAAATTTCTGCTCCAAGATTTTAATAAAACTCTTGTAAAAAATATCCCCCTCCCAAAGAAATTCTTAGAAAATACATAACGTTTTCCCCACTGTTTTTTATTATTCTGTGGCAACAAATCCGGGCAAACACAGTAAGTTATTCCTGTCTACAGTACTTTTCAAACAGTTTCTTGGCCTTTTCAGGTGCTTTTCTGTGATGCAAGAAAGAACTCTCAGGTGCCTTGTGTCATCAGTGTGGTAGTCTCTCATTTTGAGACCAGCTTCAAAACTGATTTCTTGAGATGGATATTCTTGCTCCGGGCATTAACAATAGTTGGAACAAGGCGGAAGCCCCCTTTAAAATAATCTGTTTTAGCCGGGTTTGACAGTAACACCGTTCCAATGAGCCACAGGAAGTTTCTGCTCGTGCTTTAACCCAGCCAGATGCATTTTTGTTGAGCACAGGTTCCCCCGGACACAGGCATGACTGTATCCCCACCCAAACCCCCTCCACCCCCTTCCACGTCCCTTCTCTCTCAAAGTTGTGTAAAGTCCAGCATTGTCACGGGGATGTAGACCCCTCCTGCCTCAGGCTCTCTGCTCAACCCCTCTTTAAGTAATATATCGATCTCCCATTTCACCCCTTAGATTTGCCTCCTTCCCCCACTCACTGTTCATAAAGCATCTATATTCCTCTCCATTATCTGTTAAGTACCGCGGGTGAATTGCAAAGAGGGAAATAGTCTTACAGGGTTTGTTAAGCACAATTCTTTATATGTAGGAAGCAGTAATACGACAGGAGAGATACAGAGCAGTTGGGACCTCAGGACAAAAACCTTCAGCCTGAAAATAAATTTTAAAACCATGACAACTTTAAAGCAGCAATACAGCTCTTTTCATTGTGCATGTGGTGGCTCTTAAAAGAGCCTTTGGGTCTGTGTGGGCTGCCTCCGTGCCTTGCCAGGGAAGGGCTGCGGCAGGAGACTTAGGCACGCTCTCCGCGGATGCGGCGGGCGAGCTGGATGTCCTTGGGCATGATGGTGACGCGCTTGGCGTGGATGGCACACAGGTTGGTGTCCTCGAAGAGCCCCACCAGGTAGGCCTCGCTGGCCTCCTGCAGCGCCATGACGGCCGAGCTCTGGAAGCGCAGGTCGGTCTTGAAGTCCTGCGCGATCTCGCGCACCAGGCGCTGGAAGGGCAGCTTGCGGATCAGCAGCTCCGTCGACTTCTGGTAGCGCCGGATCTCGCGCAGCGCCACCGTGCCGGGCCGGTAGCGGTGCGGCTTCTTCACGCCGCCCGTGGCCGGCGCGCTCTTGCGGGCCGCCTTGGTGGCCAGCTGCTTGCGGGGCGCCTTCCCGCCCGTCGACTTACGCGCCGTCTGCTTCGTGCGCGCCATCGCTCACTGCTGTCCAACCTCCCGAGCAACAAGAGATGCTGACGGGAAAAGAGGCTTCAACTCCCCTATTTATAGAACCACCTCGTCTGTGATTGGACCACGAGGAGCGAGCTCTCATTGGCTGCCGTGTCAATCCCAGCCCGCTCCCTGAAGCTCCGCACCCCTCGGGCGCTGCCCCGGCCCCGCTCGGGGCGGCACTGCCCGCCGCCTGGGGAGCGGTGGGTATTTCAGACACTACGCTCGATCCCCTCTGCTCCGCCTGCTGTGCCTCTCTGCTAGTCTCCTGGGGTGATAACAAAAAAAGGAAAAACTTACTTCAGTGCCAAAGAGAGCTCGTTTTAATGTTAACAGGTATGTTATCCCGAAAGTCACAAAGGAAAAACCGGCCGGTACCTCGAAACACAGGCAGGTATACTCCGGCCTGTATCGTAATACTCAAATATTCTAATAATGCAAGTTCGTAGCTGTAAGCAGTTGCAATAAGTATGTAACAAGCTGTAACAATAGATAATATTTTAATGTTTTCCACCTATATTTTTCCTACTTTTTCACTCATTTTATTTTTACTAGGAAATTCTGAATGAGAGACCTTATACATCATCAGGTAAAATCATGACTTTGAGACTATTTAGACAGTGTTTTCAGTGAAATTAAAAGTTTAAGGAATATGGTATCAGTTTATTATTTAATTTGTCCCTACTCATTAA